GAAGAAAACAAGGGTAGGGATGCACTGGTGTTCTTTACTCACCTCAGTGTAACCATTTAACTAATACTGTCTGAGAGTCTAGTACAGTCTACACTCTTAACTTCTATGAGAATATTTCATTTTTTTTTCCTGGAAAACCACAGATTAGCTGAATGTAGGCAGTTTGAACAAAATTTGYCTTGTATATAGATGGAGAAGAGAAAAATGTTCTTTGCCTCCACATCATAGATCCTGTACACCACTCTGACCCAGTGGTATATAGATTTTTTTTTTTTGTCTTTACCTTTTGGTTGCATTTCCTGACCACCTAATTTGTCACCCTGTGGTGGTGACAGAGTCTGGAAATTRTATTACTGAGGTGACATAAACTCCAGTGTTTCAAAGGTGAATTCTCTGCAAACTCAACAATGCAATAACTTCCGAGAGGTTGAACCTTACAGAGGGTGGATATGGAGTTTGTCAAAGCTCGGTGCTTGTCACTGCAATGTCTTGTTTTTCAATCAAGTAAGCACAAATCCTAGAGCCAACATCTGATGTGTTACATCACTGAGTTTTGTRGGCATTGGACAGGAGACCATAAACCTGAATTATGGTATTTCCCCCACAGATTTATCACTGGAGCTGTGGGGAAAGAATCAGGTACTGGTTTGGGTTTMGTGGTCCCTCATGTCGTACAGCACTTACAGGAATAAAGAACCAGACWCAGAAAAGCATTTGTGCACCAAATAGCTGAGGTATCAATGCCACTAGCTGGTTTGGAAGGTCTGTGGGTCAGATGTATTTTGGCAAACACATTCAGACATTATAAAAACTCTTTTCTAAGCTGACAGTTGTGTCTGAAGCTGACATAGGGGCAGCTTTCAGCACCGGGTGCYGTGGATAAGCAAATATGAACTCAAGGGTTTCTTCTTTAGGGGTGGATAATTCTGTCAGTGTGAGACCCAAGGTTTGTGTCTTTTAACTCTTTAAATCCAAGAAGTATTTATGAGGTTGAGCTCCTCCTGTTTTCTGAGAGTGATGGAAACGCTTGGTGCAAGATAAGAACTGCAAAAGCCATCGCTCCTCTCTCTGTGTTCTTCTGTGCTCTGCTTAAAGCTTGGCATGCAAAACCATATTTTTAATTATGCATGAAGCTTTCCAGGCTGGCAGAAGTGCCTGACTTAAATTTGGGGAATAATTTTTGTCCCTGGCACTGTTTGTTTCATCTTTAAATAATTTTTTGTCTGTTGCTTTAGGATTGATTGATGTYGGGCGTGATTTTCAGGCAGGTTTTGGGTAAGGAATTCAAATTATTGGAGTGCTCTGGGTGTGGATTGCTTTTTGCACCAGAGATGGCTGCTTGGAGCTCTGCCTGCTTTATGATTATATTACACACAAGAATTTTGTAGTTACTGCCAGAGCTAATGGATCTTTACTGCCAGTGTTTCTTCATCACATTTTGATGCTGTCCAGCTCTGCTGGGAATCTCTTTCCAGGCTGTGCCTCTGGACTGTTGTAAGCTGACATTAAATGTTCTCCTTTTGTACCGGAACTGTTGCTGGCCCAAATCTGAGCTTGGACACGGTCCAGGGGCAGCTCACTGGAGCAAGGGAAAAGTTTGCTCTGACACTCATCCCTCTCACCAGAAATAGCATCTGAATGTCACCAGTGAAGGCCTGCACTCTGTTACCTGGGTGAGTAAAAATCCACCCTTTTAAGAAAGAAAAGTTTTGTTTCCTCAGGAAAGCAGGGCTGGGGAAAATTCTGACTGCTGAAAATAAGATATTTCTAATATATAAATACAAAATTATTGTGTTGATATTTTAACTTGCCATTTCCTTTCCCTGCCTATTTAGTAGGAATAAAAATATTGATCTGGAGTAGTTCCTCTGAGAAACAAGGAGTGGTTTTCCCTGAGGACACGACACTTGTGCATTCCCATGTACCTGTGTGCACAGATGGGATTCAGGAGCTGGAGGAAAGAGTTGGACTGGAGAGACAACGTGTTTCAAAGGGTTAATACCACAATTAGATTTTTAAAAATGCCATAGGAYGTGTCCATGTGAGTTCCCTGTTTGCAGCACTGCTAACCTGGTGGCCACTGATGCATTMATTTCCAAAAACACCCCTCTTAAATGAATGATATCAGAGAAAGTAAAGAGSAAGTTGGAGTGCTTTGTATGGAAGAGCTGGAGACACAGATTCATTGTGATTCTCTCACCTTTGTGCCTTGATTTCTTGTCTCATCACASCGGTGTGGGAGGATGGGAACAATGGTGGGTGGGATGAGAACGCCCTCCAGGGTGTAAATTCGACCATTTTTCGCAACAATATCTGCCTCTTCCATTTTTTCTCCACTCACCAAGACTTGTCCCTGTGAAACAATAAATTATTATTAATAATAAAGTGTTTGCTGTGCCTCCATTTCTGATGATTTAATTTTAAATTTTTAAAATTACTTTCTAGTTGTACTTCTTTTGAATTGGTTATTTTTTATTCTGCTTGTTTATGCAAGAAGCCCAAGTATATTGTGTATTTTCTTGAATATTGGTCTAAACAGAGGTATTTTTATGAATCTGCACTGTTAGCCTGGGGAACTGGTGAAGAATAGACAGGCCAAAATGAGAAAAGATGCCTTCAGGCATTGATTTCAGTGGGCATAAGCATGTTTTGGTGTTCTCTTTGACAAAGGAGGAGGGGGAAATTAATACAGAATCTGAGATCTATCCAAATTCACAGGAGAGAAGAAAAAAAAWTTATTTCTGCAGTTATTCCTGCAGCTGCTCAGCCCTTATGAAAATTTTCATAGGTGCATCTCTTCTCCAGAAGAGAAGGAAGGTAACTTAACACATCAGTTTGGGTTTGTAAAAGTATTGACAAATTGAAACCTTTAAAAGTGTGTTCACTAGGTACACCAGGATCAGAGACTATAATATGAAAGAGAATAGAAGAATATTTTTGKGTGCACTGATAAGTGTTTAAAATTACTAAAGTATGTAACAGAATGATTTTAAATATTTTAATAGATTTTTTTTTTTTAATTAGGTAGAGCATAAATGAGGATCATTCCTGGACTGTGGATTATCCCAAGGACAAAACCCCTGTAGGCTGTCCTTATACACCAATCATTTGCATCCTTTGTGATATTAATTCTAACAGTAGGTGGGAATGGGAAGGTGGAAATTCCTGCTTCATTATAGCAAGAAATTCCTCTGCTGATTGTCCCCCTGCCTTTTCCATTCCCCCTGCGTGCAGAGCTGCCTGGATCAGAGGGGCTGCTCAGGGCTGGTGACTCACAGAACTGGTCCTGTTGAAGTGGATGAACTGCTCTGCCATGCTCCTGATGTGCTCTATTGACACCAGGCTGGCAATCTCCAGCTGAAATGAACAGAAATTGCTTGAGAGAAATGCAATGCCATCACTCATTTCAAATCCAGACAGATTTCACAAGCAAGACTTTCTTTGGGGTGAGAAAATGATCAGTATGGGCAGTCTGGCATTGAGCAACCTGCTCCTATAACAAAGCCAGTTCATTAAATCATGACTGAACTTGYTGGTCCCTCCATGTGAGGAAAAGATTCCTGCTTGGGGGAACCTTATAGCTCAAAAAGAATATTAATTTTTCTTCCAGTTATACCAACCAGCCTAATTAAAGCTGATAGTTGTCTCTCGAAATAGCCCTGCTCAGATCCAGAGACCACATTTCCTTCCTTCCTTCCTTCCTTCCTTCCTTCCTTCCTTCCTTCCTTCCTTCCTTCCTTCCTTCCTTCCTTCCTTCCTTCCTTCCTTCCTTCCTTC